GTTTTTTGGGGGGGGGCGGGTTGGTCTTGTTTTTCAGTTGTTGTTTATTTACTTTTTTTCCAGTTCTCTTTAGGAGGTGCAATCTTTAATGTGGGACAGGGTCATTAATGTGGGATATATTTCTTTCAAATATATTTCGGCATTTTAAAAAATGTATGCATGGATGTGTATGCGCGTAGTTCCACCGAATCTGTTGAATAATTCAGTCTTAGATTATAATTATACAGACTTCAACATAAGTAAGTTAAGGACCACCTTGACAGACAGCCCTGATTTTTTTATCCGAAAAAAAGACAGCAAGGAAATGTTTTCTCTGAAAGTGTTAATGGATGACCAATGCGTACTGTAAAGTTTCCTAAACGGGCAAAACCACCACGTGCAGCACGGAAATCTTCGGGGAATTTGAGCCTAATTTGTTGTTTTTTATCGACTTGTGTGCGACACCACGGACTTTCCTCAGTTAAAATTCTGGTGCACGTGAAAAACGGATGTATAGTCTCGAACTGTGCTCACTTTGGTGGCAATATAAGCCACCGTTTGCGCAAAATTCAGTATCGTATCAACATACCACCATGGCAAGACGAAAGCTAAGAGACTTAGATCGTGCCAGAGCTATGGCATGGCTGCAGGGTGGAGTTGGAGTCCGAGAAGTTTCCAGAAGGCTCGTAGTGTCACACTCTGTCATTGTCCGCTTGAGGCCGCGCCATTAAGCCACTGGCTCAGTCCAAGAACGCCCACGTGCATGTCGACCCAAGGACACCACTCAGAGTGTTTGCAAGTGGTCCTTAACTTATGTTGAAGTCTGTAGGTATAGATAGAGCAGTCTAGAGGTAAGATCCGCTCAGAATTATGGGGAGGCTTGTCTTCTGTCTTTGGCGCATCTCTATCTGTTCTCTCTTTTTCTCTATCTCTGTCTCTATTTCTCCCTGTGTGACCTCCCCCCCCCTCCCCCCTCTCTCTCTTTGTCTCTCTCTGTCTCTCTCTCTCTCTTTCTCTTTTTCCAACTCTCTCTCTCTCTCTCTCTCTCTCTCTCTCTCTCTCTCTCACTCTCTCTCACACACACACACACACACACACACACACACACACACACACGCAGACACACACACACACACACACACACGCAGACACACACAGCGAAGAGTAGTATAAAACGATTTAAAATGATCTTAATTCTTAGCCCATCTTAGAGAAGTCTTAGCAAATAATGTGATAAGATTCACGAGTAATAATATGGCTTTCAAACTATGTATAAAGATATGGCATGTTTTACACTTTCTGTGTTCTTAATTCTATTTCTTTCTTTATTTACTTATTTATTTATTCAGTTATTTATTTATTTATTCAGTTATTTATTTATTCAGTTATTTATTTATTTATTCAGTTAT